TCAAAATCATATAATGTTACAGAAAGCGTAGGAAAACGGCGAATATATACACAAAAATGAAACGCCAATACAAAAACTAAACATAACAAATAACAGCACATGATGAATTAGGACAGCATATCGTCATGCGTCCAAAAAATCCGTAATTAACGAGGGTGAGATTATAGATAATATTGTACTAAACAATGCACTTTTCTCAAAATTGTGCAAGAGCTGATGTGACGTTGTTATGCGGAGGGATAACGCGATATGGTGCTCTGTGTCAATGTTTTCTAAAATTTCACTACAGATTTGATAACAAATGTGAACTATAGCAACTTTGATTATTTTGAATAGATTTATGACTACGTTGGAGTCTCTTTGATGTGGAGTGTGTAGAAGATATTGTCTTTTTACTGATGACTCTGACAACATGCAGAATGTGCTGGACAACTTGAGCATAACTTTAAATATGTTTGTCATCTGATTCACCCCAGTTAAATGTCAGACGACGTTAAAGCATCGGTCTTCATTGACTCCACAAGAATAAAGGAAAATCGTGATACTCGTCGATGCCTTTTCGAAATCTCCACTCACCTACCAACTGACTATAGTTCGTAGAAAGTAGCGAATAACCCTTTTCAGAAGTTGTCTACTTTGCTATTATCAACATATTCAGTCTGCTGTTCAAAGAATGGTTAAGTTCGTTGATAACTGGTACACAGAGGTGAATTGATGTTAGTGGAATACTGCAGCTTCATTTGAACTGATTGCTGAAAGGAGTCTGATACCAGGGTGCTGGCAACATGATAACAAGAACAACCTGCTCAAACCTAAGCTTACCGAAACTCTTCTCAAAAATCCACAAATAGTGGCGGGTAACAAAAGCGAAAGAAATGAGACAAACTTCACCAATGGGACATACGCAGCCAGTTCTGGGAAAGCCATGGGAAGTGGAATGAGGAAGTTTTATTCAACAAATCCTCAGTATAGGTGGATGGAATTTTGGGAAGGGCTGTCCAAGAATTAGTCCAACTGGTTTACAGATGCCTACAATTCTACCTCAGCTAGATTGTAGCGAAGACTGAGATAGTGGTACCGAATTTTTGACCTGCCAAATCCACTGGTCCTGATTATTTCACATGAAAGAATGGTGGTGATGGACGGTCGAGCAGATCTGTCTCGTTTACTCGCGTCCGATAATCTTGAGTATCACTAGGTCTTCAAAGAGCCATCAAACCGGAAATTTTAGATGCTATATTAGTCAAGGTAATCTGTGTGATTATCACATGAGGCTTTATTTCATTTCCTGAAATGTGGTGTGATCAACGACTTATACTAGTGTGATTAAACTATCAAAGAACTCCACTCGCTAGCTAATACGTTAGTCAAACATACATGGGATTGTGAGGCGAATACACTCTTCTAGTCTGAAACCATTATTGTTGTTGTGTTTGGTGGGGTTGGACAGTTAGTTAGACGTGGAGCCTTAGATGAGCAAGATATTCAATAGATGAACTTTTAAAGCTCTGTCAATCTGGATGGCTTCAACATGTGTTACGTATGCCGAGACGCTGCTATCACCGGTAAATGTTAGCTGAAAACTGGTTATTAAATGTGTCACAGATGGTTAAATGGAAACACGTCACAAGTTCCTGAAGTCTTTTACTGTTAATTTTATTTACATAAGGAAGTTTGTACTGTCTAGTTGTAATTCTGAAAATAAGAATCAGTGGTTGGAGACTGTTTATGAAGTAGCTCTAGATTGTGAGCGGCGGTGGAGTTATATTCACCCCTTGTGTTAAATCAGTTTCTGAAAATTTTAACTGATTTCCACCTAATTATACTCTCCTCCCGACACTTCGGTTTATTGTAGTATCATTGTGTTGTGTTCCCCGTCCTAATGTGTGCTTTGGTGTACTGAGACTTTTACTCCATATTTTTGGTTAGGGACAGGAAATTCGAAGTCTGGTTTTCTAATAATTATCTGTAATGTTCTAGTCTCTTACTCTTCAGCTAGGTGATTCTGCTAGTTGGCTTTAAGATTTAGTGACTCGGTGGGAAAGCCTGCATTACACAGCAACATAGTTCTTCATTGGCTTTTGAGATTCCAAACTATGTCCTTTGAAAAGTTCCAAACTGGTAGAAAAGGGAAGATAGATCACATCCACGCAATTTTGATTCTTAACCTTCACTGATGCATGAAAATACATTGTTATGTCATAATTGTTAGGGATTCGCCTTATTTCATCCGATGTTTCTTAGCGATTAGGAACCACCATTGTACCAACGTAAGTCTTAGCAACAGGTTTCGATTCATCCTTATCTATATATTGTTTCGGGCAGACTAACAAATTATTTACAATTGTTTCCCATCCACACATACAACACTGTGTATACCGCATATACATATATTTTTCATGTTCAGTTATCTACGACCATGTTTAACAAAAACAGACTAATATATGTAAGTCTGTGATCAAAATTTGATCACAGTTCATCCAATTCTGTTTATTACATTTTGGTGTCTGTTCATAACTCATATGTGACTGGACAAAGTTTATAAAAACAAGATGTGTCCTTTTCCTATGTATACCTTTGTTATTTTAATTTTGATTGATTTCCCTGAAGAATTTCAGACTGGTTTCCCGAACAAAACGTTGGAATTACTCATTTAAATTCCGCTGAGAATTTACAAATATCACTTTTACGTATGTCTACTTCTCACTCGGTGCCTACCTGTTTTAGGACCATTCGATCAAATCTTGATCACAGGTCATATAGGGCCATCGCAGTTCCGAAATGGAAGAGAATACTGTGAGTTCTTGGAGGGGAACAGTGTTTTATAGTCGATTTGTAAAAAACTGCAACGAGAAAGCAACCATATTCCATGGACTACTGGGTGCATCAAAATTTGTTTTGGTGGAGAGATGCTCCACCGCATTAAACAGCTAGTGGACTACGAGCGAATGAGGCAAAGATTACACGTATATGGAAAATAGTTCACACTGTGGCCACGATGGTGTTATACCAATTTGTTTTTATATCTTCTTGCTGCTGTACATGTTCAGTCTGTTCCTCAACAGATCGGTGGTTGAATTACTGTTTTCCTAGTTGTATCTACTCAACTGAAAGTTCTTCTCTTCATTGAATCTACGTGATTCGCTTTGTATTCAACATAATAACCTGGCTTACAATGGCAGAGAAGACCTCGTGTGTGCAGTTACTTATATGTATTTTATCTATGTACCACAGAAGCACAGACCAGCATTGGAAGGACAGAAAGAAGGGCATATCTACGATTTTCTGAACATGTACCAAAAAGCTTACGTCTAAAGGGAACAAATGCTTTAAACAGTGCCATCACCAGGCATCTCCTCGACACGGGTCATGAGGTGGACGTCGAAAAGTCGTTCAAAATTATCAATAAGCAAAATAGCTCCATTCTCCTTAAGTTTGCTGAAGCCATTTCCATCAAGCGCCTGAAACCTGATTTATGCGTCCAGAAAGAAGCGGTTATCAGTCCTTCTTTACCCTGGTAACTGGATATTTTCACCTCTCTTTCCTCCGAATGTGAAATGCTAAAAGTTTCCATTGTGTTTGATTATTATTGTTCGGAATAGTGGTTAATATTGCATATTTATATATGTATATGTACAGCAGGTTGAAGATGAGGCAGTAACTCATCGAAGTGGTCGCGCTATGTCGTGAATTGGCAGAAGTTAGAATTCAAGGACCATTGGATCGGGTCCCAGTGGCTCAATGGTCTACGAGCTCGCCTTGTAACCAGAAGGTCCTGGGTTCGAATCCCGGTGGGTGCGTACTGCTGAAGAGTCCCAAACTAGGAAGAAACAGTTGTCCAGTACTCCCAGGTTTTCCAGTGGTTCTGTAACTGATGTCAGCTCATGATTAAATCCTCCATGCAATCAAACAAGATCCCTACAAAACCAATACTTGAAAATATATGTATATATTTTTAGTGTATGAGTATATTGATCGATTGATTTTTGTTTAAGCTGAACTCTGTGTGCAAGTATGATAAAATTGTTTTTGTAGATATATTTAATAATGTCTTTGCCATGTAAGCAGCTGACGAGAAGGCAACGAAATAAAAGATGGCACCATTTTATTCTGCTAAAACTGTAGTTCTTGCTTTGTTCAAAACTTCTATTTTTGGAAAGCATAAACATTCATTGAGTTTACATGTCTTATTCAGGCATAATTATAACATCAGGCGCTTCGGTTATGCATTCGATATTCCAAAAGGCACCTGAATCGGGTCGCAAATTGGTTTACAGATCCTTCACATATACTGTGCTAACCACTAGAATAAGTACTGAATTCGAACATTTATCTTCCAAAGGTAGCTAACAGTGGGAATCAGTATGGACATTCACCCCGTTTTACAGCTTTTCAGTTGAAGATACCTACATTCCAGTGAGTGATAGTGTTCCTAATGAAGCTTGAATTCAGTACCCATTTTTTCGAGCATCACCAGACGTTTGGACCTCAGTGAGAACACCAACACTCAGAGATATGGGTACATTTGACGGGCAATTGCTACATAGTGCAGAACCTTACTCTTGAATGGATTCCACTGTTGATCACCTCTGAATATACATAATAGGAAGTTGGAACTCAACCAAATCAGTCCCGAAAAATTAAGTAAGAGGAAATAACAATTAATAATCTAATTTCAAACGGTTTCGCCTAAAAAATTTGGCCAGAATAACAATCATATTCTACGTTTTACAACATAAACTAATCAATCAAAAATAATCTAAATAACAATATTTTAAAACTAAGTTAGACGAAATATGTGTATATTATTGAGATAAAGTCAAGTGACATACCAAGGGACTAGGATGCATAAAATAAGACAATAGAAAAACAAAAAACAAAGGCATAAAAAGTAAGATGAAAACATAGTAAATATTCCATATTATGTCATGGTTAAGTGAATATTGCACATGTAAATTAAGAAAAAATGCAGTCATAGCTTATAAAAAGGTTAAAAACCTTTATGTTTTATCGCAAAGAACTAATTCAAATTTCAAGTCAGGTAGGTAGTGAAAACGTTGATGTAGGATTGCACTTAGTTGAAAGTCACCGTGATCTGCAAAATAAAATGATGAATAGTAGAAATACTTTAACACAATAGTGTGAATGTAAGAAATGCTAACTACAAAAGCTCCTAATAAACGGTAATAAACTAAATCAACCGTAAACGTAGTAACATCAATTTATATGATACAACTAGGTTATTGGCAGTCGACTAGTTTCAGGGAAGATTCATAGTAGATGAACGTTAGAATTATTAACAGTTAGGAAGTACTGGAGGGAATTCACCTTATTTTAACCCTGTTTAGGGGATGTTTAGGTACAACACCATGTGTGATTAGCCCGTTAGTTAGCATGCCACACTTCAACTACTAGGTCCATGTTCTCCATCTTTTCTCAAGTGTCAGTGAAGCTATACGGTTTTCAGAGATAATACTAACACTATAGACTAATGTCGATAATTTACTGGTAGAATGCTCGCCAACCAGACAGGAGATTCACGTCCGATTCCCAGCAGATTCACTTTGTCCAGAAATGAAAACCCCTTCGAATTTGTCTAATCCACTGTACAACAGAAAAGCAATGGAGGCTCTATAATTTTTTGTACTGTTTCTGTTTACGAAAGAGACTTACCAGTTTTATTAACTATTAAATCCACTACGGCTAAAAGTACAGTAAACTGCTGACCGTTGGACAAGGAGGAAAGTGATGGTGTAGAAAATTGACTAAATTTATGTTTGATTGTAATTGGACAAGAGAATTGATTTGAAGGTAAAATTTGGACCAGAAGAGCAAGGATTACTGATGCGTCTGCTGCATGACCGTTTGTATCTGGTGTACCATCTCCCACAGGGTTATAATTACAAGTCATTCCAGAGTTACTGATATGAGATGTATTCATGCCAAATGTCATAAAATCCTCACTTGGATCAGTTCCAGATTGGGCGTTATCATTAATTAAAAGTAGGTAGACAGCCGTAAATGTTGAGTGGCATAATTGATTATCTTGTAACAGGTTTGGATGAAGACCAGATAGAGGGAGTATGACAATATTATGTTCATCGTGGATCGTCAACTGATTATGATGACAGAAAATTGGAACTACCTAAAGAAGGAGAACAATAGAGGTGGAGAACACTTAAAACTCATTTTGAAGTTAGCACTGAAGAGGTTATATAAATGCTAAATGAAAGATTCGCAATTAATCTACTTATCCCTAAGAATATAACAACATAGAAAACATTCAAAATTCAATTTAGGCAAGTACACAAACAGATGACTTATAGCAATAATTCATCAATTGAAGTAACACAATGGAAGCACTGGTGTTCACTGTTAGTTTCTCTAACAGAATAAGCTTTCTTAATTAGTTAAACCGGAAATCTATGCAGTTTACAACAGAGTCTCAGCAAAACCCAATTGAACAATTCAACCCACCTGATGGAGAAAAGACTACCGACCTCAACTGTCGTGTGTAGCTCTAATAAAACTAACTGGGAAGATTAGAATAGCACGTCTGAACTTTGATCTATGTAATGGAGTTAGGCAGAGGAGTTTTAAAAGTCTATCATACGATAAATTATCTTAATTGACTAATATGCCGATTTGCAAGTGGTTGAACTTTCCTTTATTCTGCTCGCTTGTATAATTTGGCCTGACTTAGCACTTATTGGATAAATATTAATGTTTTCTGAATGTACTTATCACATGATTTTCTAATAAATCTGAACACCTTTTTATAATATGGAAATTTTAGTACACCATGTTAATAGAAGAAACCGTTCAACATACAATAATTATTTTTATACTACAAGCGTAGCTATTTTTGGAACTATAAATCATCTTTCCTTGCATCCCTTTACACAACGCACAGTAAATCGAAACAAAAAGGGGAAGAAAGACATTATATAATGATAAGTATTTTTTTAAGCAATAATAATAAGATGTGTTGATACTATACAAACCACATAAATAAGAAAAAAACGTAATATCAAATTAACATGAAAACCCACTTGAGGTGCATGTTTGGGTTTTGGAAAATGTCTATCGTATAGCAGCTATAAACTGTATTCACATGTAATTTACAACCATGAACACAAACGAAAAGATTTCCACCAATTGATGTGTGCAAGGAAATAATGCCCCCTACAAACTTTAGAGCATTTTCACTACAGTGAAACATCAGCTTTCTGAATCGCAAAGCCATTAATTACTAGTAAAAAGCAGACGCTTTCAGTTATTTTGAGGTAAAAAAAAAACAGAACAACCCACTATGAGAAGTTAACATGAACGTCACGATTGAAAGGATAAACAATGTAGTTATTTCTTCATTTGAAAAGATTATTAATAACTGACTACAAACATTACACAATGAAAAACGTTAATTCTGTTACTTATTTGTTGTTAGTTTCAATAAACTGAATTCTATCCTAGCATATAAATTTATTAGACGGATAGATGCTGCAATATTATCATAATTTTATCCCGAAATTATTTCACTTCCAAGGAAATCTGATCAAGTGCAAGCCAACTAAGTCCCTACAACGATAATAAACAGCAGTAGGCGACAAATGTCAGAGAAATGGAGTGAGCATTGGCGGTAGGTAAAATCAAACAACTTATTTAGCCTCACTAGGGAAATGAATTGTAATAAACCAATGGTAAGCGGAACGATTTCTGAGGAGAACATTACTTTAATTACCTCCCAGGGTAAACATGTGGGACGTTCAAGTAAACATTTTGAGGCGCAATTCAATTGTGCTACAGCAACACTAAGTTTGTCCAGCATCCAACGCCTAGGTAAATATAATATAGACAGATCCTTCAACCTTAACAGAGGTTGAAAAAACTATCTTCAACCTACAATGAGACGGAGCATTGGGACCTGATGATGTGACACCAGAGGCGTTTAAGGGTGGTGATGATGAACTATTGATTAGATTAACTACAACATTATGCACTGTATGAGCATCCAAGGTGATCCAGATGGACTGAAACAAATCACTGATTATTAAAGCTTATATAAATGGAAACAGGTCTTCCTCTGATGATCAAAGGGGGACTTGACTTATTTGGTATATTGAATTCCAGTCCCAACAGTCATGCATAGATTGAGTAGCACTCACGCGAAACAAACAAATGAAAAACAGGATGACTTTAGACAACAACTAGGGTATAGTAATCATATCTCCACCCTTCGACAGTTTATGGAACATAGATATGTTGAATAACATCCAACACTTGCCATAACTGTTAACCCGTAGTGTGCATTTGATTCGGTATAATGATAAGTGACATAGCAGTGTCTGTCTGATCACATGCAATTAACACGGACAACGTTAACAGGATGAGAAGGATCGTGTACGAAAAGACTAAGGAGGCCAAGTAGAGAACACTGTCTGTCTGTCTGTTTTCGACATAGAACTTTGCACAAATGTGCGGAAGTTCAAGTCGCCACATTCCGTGTAGCACGCGAAGCAAGAGAAGAAAGTACAAGAAAAGCATAATAGAAACAGTGAGCAGAGGTGTGAGACAAAGGAGTAATAAATAAATACAAAACAGTTTCATTGAAGATCATAAGTCACAGGGAGTGGATGCATCTGCGCCACTGAGAACGATTTTGAGCCATGTCACCAATTGTTTCCAACCATAGATTTTTGCCGTCCCGAGGACCCCAGCCTGGAAGTCTACACCTTCCTACGTGGCTTAGACCAACTGTTGTGGATTTCATTGACTGGTGCCAAGTTTTTGTTTGACCGCCGCTAGCTTTTTTCCAGCCTGACCCTATATCCGCTAACATAGCTCGTCGAGGGAGGCGATGACTTGGCATACGTAACACATGTCCTAACCATCTCAGTCGATGTAGCTTCACGACTTCGTCGATTGATTTCCCCTCCTTACCTAGAACTCTACGCCTAACCTCCATGTTGCTCACCTTATTATGCCACTTTACACGGGAAATAGAACGCAGGCACCTATGATCAAAGGTAGCTAGTCTTTTCATGTCTTCCACTCTCAGTGGCCAGGTCTCACAACCATAAAGGAGGACGGAGCGGACTGATGAGCAGTACACCCGCCCTTTGGTCGATAGTCGAACATCTCGTCTACGCCAGAGTCGGCGTAAACTAACAAATGCGAAACGAGCCCCTTGTATTCGTGCTGAGATTTCGTCAGAGATCAGCCCGTTGGGGCTGATGGTACTTCCCAAATAAGTGAAGCGGTCAACGTGCTCTACCACTTCACTTCCTATTTTTAAACTAGGCGTCGATGTAGTCCAGTCCTGTAACATCATCTTGCATTTGGCGGGAGCGAATCGCATGCCAAACATTCGTAGATTGCTGTTCAAGGTGTTTAGAAGACTCTGCATTTTGTCAGCGTCTTCGCCTAGAAGGACTATATCGTCTGCATATTCCAAGTCAACGAGATTATTCCCAGGTAGCAAGTCAATCCCTGAATCGCTGAAGTCACTGGAACACTGGAACTATCTCTGAGTCGAACTGGTTGGCTGTGTAGGTTATTATTGAGCCACCAACACTTCCATGTAGTGATAATTTTGCCTTTGATCAGGTCATAAGTATGATGTTAACATAAATCAGTGTGTATATGTAGCAGTAAACGTCCGCAAAATCATAATAGTATGAGAATAAGGGAAAGTTACTAGCATTTCAAGCTTTTTTCGTCTTATCCCCCTCTGTCCATAGACTGAGAATTATAAAATCGAAAAACCCCAAAATGAACGCAGAAAAATTACTGATAGTAAGGGTGATGATCGAACGTTTGCTAACGTGATGTGTCATCATCTGTGGACTGTGGCTTAATGTTTGTAGAGGCTTTGTGCACGAATGAGGGCGGCACAAAAGACAGTAAGGCTTGGTAAATTGCACATTCGTTAATGGGAAATTAGCTTGTAGAACACATGCATTTAAACACCTAACCAATTAAGAAACAGTCATAGCTTTATGTGGGGTGGGAGGGCCTCAAACTGTCGTTGGATGGGAAATTTTTCATCCCTTGAGTTCTAAGTAAAATATAAAGCCTCAGAACCTTCGAACCTGGTTCTCTCAGATTACTCTTGGTTCGTTCCATGGCTGCCCATAAGGTTTTATCTTCTCCTTCACATTAACCTTAGACGCCAAACTCATAGCTTCACATTCGGATTTCACTCTAGGTTTCGCATCTGATCTCACTAAAATATCTCATTAGTGCATTCCCAATCCATCTCTATTTTCGTCTGCATATTTGTTGAGTGATAATTTCTTGGCTAGTTGTCTGATCCATCTAAAATCCTGTCTTCAAAGTGATATGTAGGTTGAGACGCGGTTAGTATCCGGTGACCACGTGACTGTTCTGACTCATACACAAGGGCAGAGAGTAGGCTGAACATTGCATAAGTGACTGGCTTTTTCGCATAGCAAATGGTGACACAAAAACCTTCTCTCCCGTGCCCACTGAATTTCTCATTGGTCATCATCGCTAAAAAGGAGTGAATATTATCAACTTATAAAATTGGCAAAGTAAATAAACATTACCTACCTTAAGACCACTAGAATGACGTTTCCTCTTATCGCCTCCATCTATTTGTACTGAAGTTGAAGGAATAGAATACTTTATTTGATCATTTGGGATAGGTATGGCAGTACATCGAATCAATTCAACCTCAGCTTGACAACATAAAAACTGGCATGTTGTAAGATCACATGCTAAATCACAAGACGTAACGTCAATCAAATCTGATCTTTTATTAAAGTTTCCATTGATAAAATTCCAAAAACGACTTAAATCGGAAGTAACTGCTCTTACAAAAGCTGGAGAATCAGTATAAGCCAGTAAATGCCATGGCCATTTAGAAGGTGAACTATAAAAAATAATAGCGCAACAAAGAGAAACAATGATTAAAAAATGACACCACTTTGTTGAACACTAGGAATACATTAAACTAGAATAAATGTAACAGCCTCAAAATGAATTTTAAACAAGGCCGCTTAACTAAAACAACAGCACTCATGCTGCTAATGTTCAGGTAATACCTACACTACTGGACCATGAATAAATTAACAACCTATCTAACCTAGTTAGATTAAATTATTATTTCCTTTAATTCCTAGAGAAAAATAGAGCTTCAGCCATACGTCTCCATAGCGTTCGGTTTTCTGCCAACATTTTCACATGGCTCCACGTCTGCCCACATGCTTTTATCGCCTTTTCACATGACTTCCTCCTTTTCAACCTCGCACTAACCACCAAATCGCCGCCGCCCATTCAAGAGCTTTGCGTGTGATGTCACTTGATGGTTTTCTCAGAGTATGGCCAACCTAACTCCATTTCTTCCTGCATGTTTGTTATACAATCAGTTCCAGCTGGGATGGTTCGCTCCCACAGACCCTTATTGCTGACCTTTTCTGGACGGCCATCTGATTTTGAGTAGTATTGAGCGAAGACAGCTGTTGATGAAGGTCTGTAGTTTGTTTGAAGTGCCCTTCGTGAGGCATCAAGTCTCTGAACCCTATAGTAGCACTGAATTCACACTGTAGCCGAAAATCCGCATCTCATTTTTCATGCTGAGTACTGTTGACCTCCACACAGACTTCAGAGTAATGAAACCTTGCTTCGCTTTACTAATCTTTTCTTTGATATTCTCGTCAGTTGCGCCTGTACTTGAAACGAAGCTTCCCAGGTAGGTAAATGTAGTTACTTCTTTATAATTTCTTCCACTTATGTTGATTGTTGTTGCTGTTGGCCTCGAATCTTCATCACCTCTGTCTTCTCTATGCTCACCTGAAGTCCTATCTTTGTGAACGTGTTGCTTTTCACTTGCATATCTTCCAGTTTGTGGCAAATACGACAAATATCATCCGTCAATTACAGATCCTCCAAGTTTTTAGTGTGGGTCCGTTTTATGCCTGTTTCTTCGCTGCCCACTGTCTGTTGCATTATCCAGTCTACCGCAATCAGGAAAATCATTGGAGATAGTAGGCAGCCAGCCTTGTCTTACACCCGTCTTCACTTCAAAGGATTCCGTGAGTTTCCCGCTGTGGATTACTTGGCGTGCAGAAATGTCGTAAAACTGTTGGATGAGCTGCATAATTGTTAGCAGCACTCCGTAGTAGCGAAGTAATTTCCAAATCACCTCTCGATCGACGCTGTTAAAGGTTTTCTCAGAGTCAATGAAGTTGAGGTAAAGAGCTGACTGCCATTCCAAGCTCTGTTCAATGATGGTCCGTAGTGTTGCGATTTGATCGATGCATGACCTATTCCTCCTGAATCCAGCCTGTTCCGGTCAAAGCTTTCCATCCAGGACGTGTTTGATACTCTCCAGTATGATGCGGCTTAGTATTTTGCTTGGGATAGACAGGAGAATTATGCCCCACTAGTTCTTGCATTGACTTAAGTCTCCTTTCATTGGCAGGTACCTTCCCTTCTTTCCACACCTTCTTCAGCAGTGGTGTCATCAAGTCTGCTGATGTTTCGGGGTCCATTTTCAATGCTTCTGCGGGGATCCCATCTGGTTCTGCTGCTTTTCCAGTTCTCAGCATCTTTACTGCCTTCAGGTTTTCTGTTTTCGTCGGAGGGTTGATGTCCACTGGTAGTTCTGCTTCCGCTGTTGGTATTATTGGGCGCGTTGTAGGTGGCGGTTGGTCTAGAAGTCTTTTGAAGTGTTCAGCCCAGTGTTTCCTTTGCTCCACCTCTTTGGTGATTGACTTTCCATTGTCATCCTTCACTGGCTTAATTTGTGTCGAACTTTCCCCCGAAAGGTGCCTAGTTGTTTGGTAGAGTGTGGCGAGGTCTCCTTTGCCTGCAGCTTGTTCTGCTTCACTTGTCATAGCTTTATAATATTGCCTTTTGCCTTCCTTGGCACTTTTCTTTACTCTTTTGTTCAGTGTATTGTAGCTTGCATTGCTGCTCATCGATGCACTGGATAATCTTTTGTTTCACCATCCTTATCTCTTCTATTAGTCTCCATGTGTCTGTAGTGACCCACTGTTTGTCCTGTCTCTTCTTTCTGCCTGGAATTCCCTTTCAACTTCGACTCCACACCTGCCTTCAGGTTGTTCCAGCGCCTTTCAATGCTTGTCTCTTCGCTAGTGTTGATTTGTGTCTTCGCATTCTTCCTTATGACTACAGTGAAGATATCCCTGTGCTTGTATACGCTACCACAAATTACTAGTTCATTGAAGGCACAGAAGGCATTGAAGAGTTCTCCGTTTTCGTTCATCTCTCCAAGTACTTCTCTACCCATAATGAGTTCTCTTCCTGTGTTGTCTGGTCCCAGTTTGACGTTCATGTCTCTCATTAGGATTCTAATGTCACCGACTGGAATATTGTCCACTATTGCCCGTAGTTGTCTGTAGAACTCTTCTTTTTTTTCGAGGTCTGCGTTGTTTGTGGGTGGACAGCATTACATAACTGTCACTTTCCTTACTTTTGAGTTGAATCTGGCGGTCATTATCCTGGGCGAGATCGCCTCCCATTGTAGCAGGACCTTCGATGCCATTGGTAACATCATGATAGTCACATCCTCGATTTATTCGTGGTTGTCTTCTGGGTGACCAAAGTAAATCACTGACTCTCGTGTTGACAATTTGATGAGTTCACTCCCATTCCATCTGCCTTCGCATATTCCCAGTATTTGAATACCATATCTTCGCATCTCATTTGCAATCTGAGCAGCTTTGCCAGTCGCATACATGATGCGGACGTTCCATATCTCCACACGTACTTTTTCTTTTGTCTCAAGAAGACTCATAGTACTAAAGTTTCTGTAGCAGAGATTTCTTACAGGGTGGAGTTGCTATCCTCACGTCCGAGGAGGAAGTTGTTCCACATATATGTAGGTTACAGAGGAACAACTTTTCGTGCTGGTCCCTTTGGAACCAAAAAAAGAAATAAGGCAATCAGAACAAAAAAGTCCCAACAAGAAAACCAGAGACAACAGAAACAAAAACTGTAGCCAAAATAACTGTTAAACACAATAACCAAAAATAACATGTAAACCATAGACTCACTGATTTGGGTCAACTTGGGCAAGCAAATTTAATAATATATACAATTATAGACATTAGTTAAACAGTCACAGAATGCCAAACAGTTAGTTATAGACATTGACAGTCAACAAGATTATATCCACAGATTCAGTGTTCGAAGGTAAACGAATTACAATAAATTCCTGGCCCGAAAAACACCAGAAAAATGGGAACTTTATGCAGCTAAGCAAATGTAGACCTCTAATCGAAAAGCGCGTCAGCTCATAACAGGATAAATCCCATTAAGAATAAGTAGACCACCGAATTTCAAACGCTAGTAAATCCATTGGGTGGAATGAAATATTTCTACTATCTTAGATGTTATGTTAAGAGACCATGAAATGTCTCACACATCCCTATCACTTCTGCGTCTTTTCATTACTTCTGCATTCTTAACAGTCTTTCCATTTTCGAACATCGTACGAATATTCCATATCTCCATACCTACTTTTGCTTCCATAGAAGGAAGACACACACGTGAGCTGAATGTCTACCAGAAGGTGACAGATGGTCTTCTGAAGTTTCTTTAGCTATTGGATTGATTTCCCAGAGAAGAGTCGCTAGCCCCACACCACACTTTTCGTCCTTCTCTGTGATTAGAACTAGTATATGAATAAACTAGGCGAGGATGAATTTATAAACAGTAAATTAAACATTTAAGAAAGGAATCATTATAAAAACTCTTAAATTATAAAAACAAAATTACCAAGATGGATTTGACTGGCAGATTGCACTTAAAATATGGACAGGAAGTGTAGAAAGAAAATCCAGCAGTCGGTCAGTGTTATGTTGTTTATCAGTATTAAGATTCAATTCACCTATATCCTCAAAGGAATCAGATGACGAGGTGGATATCATATTATACTCAATTGTTTGTGCATGGTGAGTTGGTGTTATGATCGAAGTTGTTGCTAAACTATGTGTTGATAATCCTAAATGAAAACTTCTTGGTATTGTGCCATATTCCTCTGGACCAATTTCACCAAATATACCATCATTCCTAATAAGCAGAGAAGAAGAATCATCTGATTCTTCAACGCTTAATTCAGCTGCTTCAGCTTCAAACAATTCTGAATTTTCAAATACAAGAGTGACTAAGTTAATTGATTCTGTATCAGGTGATAAACAATCACGTTTCGACCAACGAAAAGTTCTTGGAGCCATTCACTAAAAAATAACAAATATGTATTGATGAAACTGTGATTATGAGAATTTGTATTTCATATCAGTCACAACTTCAAACCAATATCTGTCGTTAAGTAAACTTGGAGAACACGGTTGTTGCTGGACAAAAAGTCTGAACTAATATAAGATAACAAAATGACATTTAAGTACTCAGATAAAATACAAAGTGCAATTGATTTATTAATCTCAATCCATAAAGCTGATAAAATTCAGTCGATAAACCGATAGTGAGCTAGACGCGACATTGAGGTGCACTGAGAAATTATACTAGCCAAAAAATGAATGAAAAGTTTGAGTTAGCCAGAAATATACACATACAACAATAACAGATTTCATGTAATGTAGAAAACCTCTGCTCATTGGCACAAACACATTCAACTTTCAACTGATGAGTCACAAGTTCGAAAAACGCTTCGTATACAAACATACTTGGTCACTGGATGTATTCGTTTCACAATATCTTGAAGTTGTTAACTTATAGACCTAAGTATAATTATACAGTACAAATCTTTGTGATACAAAAAAGTACGTGAAAGCAATCTAATGACATCAACATAGAGCCTATGAAAAAATCATTGCAAGTAGCGATGATATTATCATAGTTATTATTATCATTATCAAACAAAAAAGACGACAGTCAAAAAATATGAAGAAGGAAAATGAGAAGGGGGAAAATATATTTTATTTTGAAATATTTTGCAGTAAAAGACAATAGAGTACATAAGAATAAGCATTTATGAAGTAAACGAAAGGATAGAATGTCTAAGCTTACTTGAAAATATAAAACACACCCATAGTAAATTAAAAACAGTAATTCTGTTAGTTTAACTCCACGTAGTTAATCAATAAACTTAATTGTCTATCTCTACTTTTAAATTGTTTTGTGATTGGAAGTAATGCTAAAATGCAACTGTTCTTTTGTGCATTGAAGCAAAGCATTAACTAGTCGAATAAAACCAGTATCCATAGGTTTATCTAACCCTCTTAAAAGTCTATGACGCATAACTCCAACAAATTCTTTGTAACTAAGTTGCCCATCATCTGAAAAACAAATAAAAATATTTCTCCATATACATTTGAAAAATTATAAGGAATGAAAGCACTAGCATACACTTGGCCATAAGCTACAACTATTGCGACAAGGTATCGGTAGCATAAAATCGGTTAGTGAATTGCTTCCCTGAATGTTGAGTGCTACACTCTCAACGTAAAACAAGCCAATGACTAAGTTCGTTAACATAAAATGTCGTTCATCAAAGAATATGGCAATTGTAACGCATATCCCAGTCACCTTAACCTATCAACATTAACAGCCTCTCAGTAGTACATACCACCTTGTTTCATCTGAAATGATCAAACCAGTGGATATAGCTATGGTCAAAAGCCTGTAATCTTACCATGTCGCGATAATATTTAGCTACTTAAAATGAGGTGCATGTAAATAAACCAGACGCTATAATGCAAAACACAACCCATTTGATCAACTTAGTCAGGAGCACGAAGCAGCATTATCATTTTTTTGCACAAAGCAATGATGATCGAGGTCCTGACCCAATTAGACTTGGTTAATCTGTCTGTAAATTCCTTTGAAAGTATACGCTGAACTCTCTTAGAGAAAATTATTTTCAAACTTATCAGTGATATCAATAACATTTTGTTTAAAAAAAATCAACGACTGTGATCCCCGCCACAAAGTTATGGTTAACTAACGAACTATGTCACTGAATAACGTATTCCGCAATTATTCTTGTTAATCTAAAGACTATCTTAACCAGATTAAAACGAAATTAATACACAATTCAGATAATTAATAGACTCTATTTTTATGCTAAACAGAATCATAATAATACAAACAATAGAAAGGAAACAGACCACATGCACTTACTATTTTCATCGAATAAAGTGAAAACAACATCAACTACATGAGGCGACAAGTGAATATTTGCCACGGTTAATGCAACATGGTTCAAAGTATCTTGGTCCATTGATGCACCTGCCATGTGATAAAAAGTTAAAGCAGTATCCACATCTGCAATACATCGAAGTAACTGACTGAAATCAAAAAAGTCTTGATAAGTAATACCCTATTCAATGGTAAAGAAAAAAAATACAGAAAGTACACTAGTTTTATGCCTTTTGGATAAAAATATTAGAACTAATATAAAAAAGAATTCGCATTAGATTGCCATACTTGAGATCTTCATATAAAGTAAAGAGTTATATAAACTAGATGAAAACCGTATAAGCAAAGGTCACAAAATAATAATAAAAATAGAGGGGGAAATGGCTAAATAGATAAACGTGATATTACCATCAATATGATTAGACGAACGCTTCTACAAAATCATAATCAATGCTGACTCGTTCAGAAGCAAATTAGACCGGTCTTTAGGATTCAGACCATGAGTCAATAACTCCATGGATTATTGTGTTCCTTCTATTGATATTAAACTGACAATATTTATGCTGAAACGTACGAAACCCGACCACTAGTAACACTTAGAACCACATAAAAAATGCATGGGAAGTAATATAAGCTCTTATTATTATTTTCTTGCTTATAAAATCAGTTATCTTATACTTGCTGAACTAAAAATATGTAAAATTTTGAAATCATTATTCACGCTGAGATTACTAGATTATAATATGATCCAAATGTGAAATGTAGTACTGAACTAGACTAAAACTAAAAAAGATTAAAGTTATAGTAATTATTTCCTGTGCCAGTACTTCAGTGGAAAGGGGCTGGCTGATTACCCATGTGGTCCCAGCTGACGCAATTCTAAACCTCACCTAGCCGTTAGTAAAGCCGGTAAAGTAGGAAAAACGTGTAAACAACTCACCACTACGGAAACTTAAGACCTTAAGTTTGAAGCCCTATGCTGCACTCGGAAGGCAAAGGAGGGGAAAAAAGTACATATTTACAGTAGTAGGGACATTTTCATGTCGAAAAAAGTGAAGGTCAAGTGACATAGAAACAAATTATCGCCCACAAAGTACATTATTATTATTGTTCCATTGGGTTCCTAGTGGAACATAGGGCTTCAACCACAAAATACATGGTATACATGAATCTCAATAAACAGATTAAAATACTCTGATACTCCAGTCAAGAAGCAATAATCTGACAAAAATGACCAGATTGAACTATATAAAATGTGAACTGCGGCCAAAAACGTATGAGTATTAAATTTTTCATTTACTTAGTGGTGGTTAGTAGCGGAATCAAGAGTGCATTTCGTCACCTGGATGTAACTACATTCAAAAAATGACAAGGCTACCAGTGAAACGCTGAACGAGTACCGATTAGTTCAAACATCAAAAACCTATCCATTAGGCTAACAGTCATCGTTGATTTGTATTCGCAACTTCACTCGCCTGATTTTACCCAGCTAAGGATTCTTCTAAGCATTGATTTAATAAGAATTAGGTTATTTTAGTTGAGTTAGATAAGTTGCATGAAATACACGAACGTGTTTGATCATAGTCATGCTACTGAAGACGTTAAAGAGACCATGTTGGGGAAACTGTATAAGGATGCAAATATATAAAAATTTACAATATTTGTAATATAATTTTCAAGCACTAGTTTTTTGTAGGGATTCTGTTTGATTGGTCGGAGGATTTCGTCACGAGCTGACATCAGTTAGAGAACCATTGGAAAACCTGGGACTACTGGACAGCTGTTTTGTCCTTGTTTGGGACTCTTCAGCAGTACACATCCCACCGGGGTCCGATGAGTTCCAAACAAGAATGAAACAGCTGTCCAGTAGTCCCAGGTTTTCCAATGGTTCTCTAACTGACATCAACTTATGATGAAATCCTCCAACCAATTTGTAATATAACGCAAAAAGTCTTTAAAGCAAAAATTGAATTACAGTAGTTTCATCGGCATCTGGTGGAAATTTGGTCTTAACTCGACGAATCATTTTACGTCTTTTGTTTTCCGAGAACCCAGCATAGGCAAGTAATGAATTAGCAAACTGAACTTCGGTTATTTTATCATCCTTTGGCTCAGCCCTTTCAAACTACAAAATTAAACATAAGAAATAACACATCAATCAGTTAACCAAAATACAATTAAACGAGGTTTTTTGTACAATTCTGAGCAAAGCAACCCATTTAAGAAACAAAAGTAGCATATGGCCTGTGAAGGAGCCACATCTAGTGTATGAGGGCCAACAAAATTATCAGGTTATCTATAGCCGATATGTGGAACTGTGTTCAAACCTGTAACTCAGTGATGGGAAGTCGGACATCCAAGCCAATGAGTCACAACTTCTATTAAACTCCAAGCAATTTTTTAAAGTTATGTTGATTGGAAAACATCAATGAGTGAACAAGAGCCAAGTACATTGATTTCTATTTCACCGTCAAGTCAATAACTACTTCTAAAAGTGCGAAATAAGCATTCAACGTTAACAAAATGGCTATTTATTTTTTGATTGAAATTTATCGATAGCGTATGTAACCAAGTGTTGCTTAATAACATTCATGTTTATCCACCTTTCAGAGAGCCGCACCAATACCGAAAGGCAATGAGGACACTGTATTTGCTCGAACTTTCTATTTCACCGTCAAGTCAATAACTACTTCTAAAAGTGCGAAATAAGCATTCAACGTTAACAAAATGGCTATTTATTTTTTGATTGAAATTTATCGATAGCGTATGTAACCAAGTGTTGCTTAATAACATTCATGTTTATCCACCTTTCAGAGAGCCGCACCAATACCGAAAGGCAATGAGGACACTGTATTTGCTCGAACTTTTGTATGATGGGACGGACTGCAAATCTATGACCGGCTGACTCAACGCAATGAACCAATGCTACATTGTGGGATATGACCACTATGGTATGGTGTATATTGTGGTTGTATGTTAAACAAGAGTTTCTATCGACAAAATATTATTGTTTTAGTTATTTTAATACAGAAAGCTTATCCAGTTGCTCATGAATGACTTCCCATATCTCGTAATTTGAGAAATAACACAACCATCAACCAATGCCTTCCTTAGGTAACTACCAACACACGTTACTCAGAAGGCTTACATAAAATCCATTTCGAAGTACCTCATTAACAAATACCATGTTGATTTTTAGTTGGGAGGCTTGAGTAATTGACTGCTTCAAAGCAATTTTTATAGCATTACTTGAAAAATAGCCCTAGCTAATTAAATTTTTATAAAAGTGACTATTGAAATAAGATTCAAAACTTTTCATTTGAAGTAAAGTATTGTTGACTTTGAGTTGATTTGCAGAGCCTTGTTAATAGTATTTCCATAGTTAAAGAGTGAAAGTGTACGAAATTGCCATCAGAGGCCATGTGAAAATAAGTCAGTTATCCTTTTTTATGACTCAAAAAATCTCAAATTGCACAACAAACACTGAACAAAAAACGACTTTACTACTAACTTCTAAACGCATAATTTCTTCCTGTAAATCAGAATGAAATTTGAGAAATTTACTGATTGGTAACTTCTGATCCCCATTCGGACCAAAAAAGTAACGTTTTAAAGCACTGTTGCTCCCCGATCTTAAAATGCATCCGGTTGCTGAATGATCACGATGACGACGACCCATTGATGTTGTACCCATGATGACTGATCGCACCTGGAAACCAAGACACAGACACCATGGAAACAAACAGTTCATAGAAAGCTTCGACATGTTACACTGTCTCATTCATGAGTAATAATATCATTAGCATGAAAACAGACATTACTGAATAGTAACTAAGTTACTACAACCTCACATCCGCACATAAAGTCAAAACCGAAAATTGTAAGTGAAAATAAAATGGTCGATAGTGTGTTATAAGTTGAAAAAATAGGTTACTTCGTGGTTACGAAAAGGTGGAAGTGCATCGAAGCCAACGTTTCTAATCATCAAATTGGATCGTCTCCTTAACACAACTTCCCTACATAATTCAGATTGACAGCCAGTTAACACTTTAATAAACAGATAGGCAATAATTTAAAGTAGTGAGCACCGAAGCTACCGTAAGAAACATATTTCAAAGCTAGAATAGGCATGATGCAAGCTAGGGCAAATAACGACTTACTACACTTGAAAAAAGCAATTCAGTTTATGTTGGATTCAGAGCAACAAAAGCACATGAAGTACAAAAAGATACGGATTGTCAAGCAAACCAATCAATAAAGATGATTGAAATTTTGTAAGTAGACATCTTAGAGAAAATAGGTCAGCATTCAGTGACTACAGTGATTCACCACATATTAGTGTTGATTACAACCTGTCGATGGACAGGTAATATGTGGTTACTAAGATGGACAGAATAGAAATTAAATGCGTAGTACAGGATGCTAAATACGAAAACTCTGCTTAGTTTATATTATCACGTGAACATCTGGTTTAAATTCTCCTTGCTGTAAAACTGGATCATTTCGAAAAAAAGATATCATGTGGTTTGCAATAGGCGGGAATGCAACCCTACTCCGCTGCAAGCACCTAAAAGGGAAATATACAATAACCAAAAAAGAAATAATAAATGCGTAGTGACTGATGCTAAATTTTTGCTATTTAGATGAAATTGCTTTCGGGGCTTTTGTGAGATCTGAACCTATAGAAAAATTGATGACAATTAATTAAAAAGCATTAGATAACTAGATTATTGAGTGGAAGGCTAAAATTACCAAATATTTAATGTGAACTCACAACTTCGAACTCATCACTATCCAACTCCCCATCACCATTTATATCAAACATGCGGAAAGCGATTTCAAATTGACGACGAGGTGCTGAAATAATAGTAATAATGAAAACGGAAAATTGCTATTATCATATTAGTTCTGAATAACATCGAAAAGGACTAATTTACAGATGGACAGCAGTTTCATAATCATAATGACCTCATAAAAATTAGTCACCACATTTGAGTTAGCAGCTTTATTGAAATGCATTAACTTCAAAATAGAAAGCTTGACGTCGCAGATTTACTACTGTCTTTGATTTATACCTGTGGTTTGTCGGTTAACTAACTTGATTTCCAGTCACTCAGGGATTAACTACTTATCCATCTACCGCGGTTAACGTAGCCAGGTAACATAATGAATCTCATCATAATAAGTATCTTAGTGTCAAACAAAAATTAACGTTGCTTTTATTCTACCTAACTGAATAAGCACTACACATAAACGTTAATAATTAGCTGTTGATGTCAAAAATAAGAAATAAAACTCACTTGAAAGTACAGTTAGTAAAAATATAAAATCAGTAAATGTGATTAACGCTTGATCACAAAGTCGATAAAATATTGACTCTTTTGGTATGTCTAAATGTAACTTCTCAGCCTGAGAAAGGAAAAACACAAAAAAATAGATATACACTATCCACCGACAGCTCATTGATTACAAAGACAGTATCACTTTAGCACAACTTGTACAAATACTGTACTGTTTTTGCTTTCATAAAAGAGAATAAAGGTAATACTGCCGTGAGACAAATACTAAATGTTCGAATTCAGTTTGATCAACTAAGTAACATCATCAAATGCCATCCACCAAGTGTGACATATCCTGACGCATGTAAAATACATGTCCCGAAAATAACTGTGTTAACTAACCAAATGTGCATAACTAACACTTAAAGACTGTTTTTACAGGTCTCTAGAACACTTCTAGGTTATTGTTAGGACACACAAGTAGCTCATGTTTAGAAGTTACGCATTATAATAATGACAGTTGGTCATTCAATAACGTCATGAGCCTTCGAACTGAGAGACCAATCCACATACCAAACAGTCGATGCACATGTGCATATGAAATGCCAAAAAAATCACGGTACATATTTGAACGCAGAGAGTGAGACTTGCTAGTTGCACAGATTTTCTGGAGAAAAAAACCGTCAGAGGGAGCAGCTACAAAGATTACATTTGATTGCTGAGAGGAAAGAAAATAGCAACCAGTGTGATCGTATGTGTCGATAGGTTTGAGTAGGGAGTTTGGCTTCCCCTGGAGTAAAGCCAAAATAACCGTAGAACGCTAATTGGAGTCAAGTTGAAACTTTTCTAAGGGATACAGACTGCATATGTTTAAACTGAAGTTATATAACTTACAGACTGAAACTAACCCCATGATTACGTTGGTTACCTTCTAAGAGTTTGTTCTTATAGGTAAAAACTCCAAGAATAAGAATGAAGAGATGATCTTAATCTAAACTGAATGCAATACAATAAATAGGTGAGTGAAACAAACCTTGCTGAGTTGGAACATAAGATTTGCAATGAAAAGATCACGATTTATGACTACACCTATCTACCACGGATAGAGGGGGCGAGCATCATTAGGTATGGTTCACATTAAGTCTACAAACCTAAAAGTGACCAGGATAATGTTACTTCAATAAACTGTTAAGAAATGTGGTCTAACAGCTCTGCATGACAATAATACTTATTTGTTTCGCATAGTAGCGCAAAGTGACAGAGAAAAAATTCATAGTATTTGAAAAACAAGCGACTAACCTTATTTTGAAAGTAGACCATTCCCGTCTACATGTGGAAAAGGAATAATGCAGTTTAGTAAAAACAAAATTTAAAGATATAGTTCGCTTATATGTATGAATTGTAGTAACAAGAAGAAATCAATATTACTCTAAAAAAACATTTCAAACTCCAAAGCATCAGTCACTAGACCACTGAACCATGGGAACCACCGGTGCACCCAGTCTCAATTTTTATATGATAAAATTACTTTAGATTTTCCATTGTCTGATTTCCTATTCTCTATGCTGGCATACAGGTTGCAGGGAACAAGTCTTAAGTGGGATAAAATGCACGTCTCCGGTTAAATCGTTAGCCATTGCCAATCAGATAGGATCAAACGAACCGTGCGGTATCAAGAAATCGACTGTGCAAAGAGACAAATATGCATGGTGCCATTTTAGTCGATGCAGCTTTGCGACCTCACCAACTGCATTACCTTTTTTACCAAACACTTTACGTCTTAACTCATTACTAGTCACTCAATTCCATTCTCTTTCACAAGTACTGCTTTTGGAATAAAGTAAATCATTATTACTATTATTATACTCTACCATCGAACACGAGAGAACTAACGCAAACACCTGACGAAAAATAGCTAACTTCTTAGTAACTCTCACTTTCAATAGTTATCTCTCTGTTGTGAATGAGAACTGAGCAGAAATCATGCCTAAACTAGAGATGACACAAGTTGGCGAATGCTACACGAGCCTTTGGTATTCGAAATGTAGTTTAGTGAGCAATCAGCCCTATGGAGTTCGTAAAACTTTCCATTGGTCATTACCTACTTCTCATAAACTACATTAGCAATCTTATTAAGTCTGGACAAGTGATTTGAGTGCCACGTTTCCTATCTGTCGCGGAATTCAGTCAAAAATTTCTTGTCCATTAGCTCTATAACGAAATTAAATGACACGACGACAATGGGTACTTAATTCTGCCTTTACCTCAGATGACAACAGCGCGTGAGTAGAAGTGTTAATACAGCAATCATCTGATACGCAGTGCTTAATGGCGGAAAAATTTACAAAACAGAAAAAGATGGTATTAGGTGTTTACTAACCTTCGGATCATACCGCTTGAATGAATCCAAGTCTAAGCCATCAGGTTGCTTAATACCAGGAGTGATGGAACGTAGAAAGTCTTCAGGAGTCATGTACACAGTTTCACTGTCTTCATCTACACTTTTCAGTGTTGCGAAATACCGAAAGATCTTATCTGGTGCAGAATAAGCTCGAATTCGATTTTCGTAAGCTATGAACTAGGACATATAAAAAAGTTTTATTAATTGCAGATGGGGAGGAACAATTCAAGTAAAAGACTTCAGCTTAGGCCTAAACAATAGAATGGACTGAAAATTTCACACAATTCAAGTGATATCATAACTAATGTAGGTTTAGCACTTGGGAACTGTGATAAAATTTAATTCCATATTAGATAAGTTTATTTCAAATATCACGCAGTGATAGAGTATTAATAACTGGATGACGTTTCGACAATTTATCATACCAACTGATATGCTTGTGAGTAATAACTTATTCTCGAAACCTCATCCAGTTATTAATACTGCATCAGTGTGTGATATTTGGATTAAACTTATCTAACATGGGATAGGGCCAGAAAGAATTAGTAACACGAAAATCTGGCAACAAACCAATCAAGAGCCGATTACCCAACAAATTTGTAAGAGAAAATGGAGAAGAATCGGTCATACGTTGAAGAGACCTTCCAATGGCATCACGACCCAGGCCTTCGCTCGCGTGGAATCCCAATGAGAAGCGATGAGTATGTCGTCAGTGCGAGGGTGACATGGAGGAGATCATCGGAGATGAGAGATTATGGGCAATCGTGGGCCCAGCTGAAGAGATGTGTTGTTGAAGCCTTATGTTTCACTCGGAACACAAGAGAATAATAAATTAAAAAAATTGAATGATACCATAACTGTTTCAGTGAAAAGTATAAAAAATATTGCGATGCCCCTGCCATCGTTTTCTTTATATTACGGATATCCAACTTAACTATACGTGGTCATCTGAAATACCAGTATTCCTGGTGAAGACGCGAATAATAACCGTCCAAGTTTCTAGTAATGCTGGGTCAATTTCGAACTATATGTCAGTAGTGTGGTCTAATGCTAAACGAATATTTTGTGTGCTTAAAAAAATCTATTATGTTCTGTAGTAAAGTGGATAGAACTTAGGAATTGAGCTGAACGCTGAACTTAGACTGTGCTGATATAATGCTAGTCAGGGATGAGTTGGGCGTAAGAACGTAGAAATATATGCTGAGAAAAATGCCAGTAAGGGTTGAACTGATGCGTGCAGTTCCAAAAAACAGCTCAGAGTGCTACTTTGAGCGAAATACCAAGTCATTTGAGAATCATTTTAGGATTTACTCAATACAGAAAAAAGCGTTAGTTCAGAACTGTGGAATATTTATTCAGCATTACTGTAATGTTAAGCACGGGAGACTTGCGAAAATCCGTGACTGCTGCTAAACGATAGCGCTATCTTGAAGTCTATTACTACGTAGAGTCGAAAAATATACACCTACTATTGCTAAATAATTAAGTCGATCAGTGACCTTCAAAAATATATGGAATATCACATTGTTGAAGTATTTATTGTCGAATTGTAACATACGGTTACTTAAAAACAGAAGTTATACCTTCCTATCACGAAAACCAATATGTTTCTTCGAAATGCTATCCTTAGCATCTGAATCTTCGGCCACTTCAATGCCCACTGACTGACATTCCGCTTTGAGTGTTTTAGACGTCTGAAGTGATAGAGAAAATTGTAAAATCAAGTACCTTTCTTTCTTTCCGCTTTCGTTCGAAATAGGTGCGAATCGTATCATCCAAATAGGCCATGCTAAAGAAATTATCAATGTATCTCGACTACTCACCCGCCACCAGATAAAAAAATAAACAGGCCCGCAAGAGCAATACAGTAAGCACGGTACGCATAATTCGGCTTCCCTGGAAAGGCCTTCTGAAAGTGTGTATACCGATTACGATAAGTTCCATAACAGCATCTGTTCAACAGCATTGAAGACGAACCAGGACCCAAAAAGGAGTTCAACTCTGAAGTGTATTTCAAAATGCATTCAGGTCTCTTCAAGTTAAGAAACAGCAACTTTTGAGCACACCGTGAGAACATTTGTAATTGTTGTAGGTCAGGAAGTGGAAAACGACCCTCTTATTTCCAGAAAACTGAGAGTAGCTTCCAAGTAGTTTGCGGATAGATACATATGCAACTTACATCCAGATATTGAAAAGCGAGCTTAGTGTAACTAAAACGCCAAGACTGTGAAACTTTACTTTGATTTCGGGTGTTTAGGCACCACAAATATTTCTCAAAAAATAACAGTTTAAAAGGATTATATCAACAAAGTACATTCTAATTGTAGAACAATCTCTTTGAAATAAGCGCCAACATTACTCGTATTCTAATTCACACAAAAAATGATAAATAATAATCTAGATGACAAAGATGTTTGAAATATACGTCCAAAACCTAGAACTCTAACTTTAACATAATTTCATTTGTTTAGTTGATATTTCGGCCTAGTTACTTCCGCTCATTTTAAAAACTCTAGCACCAACATGCGTCGAGACGACTCGCCTGTTCATTCCAATGGTTACAGAACAAGCGTATCGCCACGAGGACGGAGATACAGCCGGTCACGATCGCGGTCCAAGTATGTTTTTTTATAAATATATTATGTCAGATCTCATTCACGCCGATACCGCAGTCGAAGTGGAAGTCGGGATTACTACCGCCGTAGCCCTGGATACGGATACCGCAGTACCGGTCGGAAGTAAGTAACTTCACAATTTTCCCGTGAAACACTGACTACCTTATTTCCATCTACTACTAATGGCAGCACCATCGTGCCATGCTATGCCTCACTTGCAATAACCCTGATTCCAGTAGCTAGCTGTCTGTATTTTATCGACTTTGCACCGTTGTGCGACAGTTTGAGTCGCCACACCATGTTGTATACAGAGCAAGAGGAGAAATTACAAGGAATAGATAATAGAGACAGTAAACACAGGTGTTAGACAATGGGAATAGCGAAGCACAAAACAAATTCATTGGAAATCATCAGTCACAAGCAGTGGATGCATCTGCGCCATTGAGGACGATTTTAAATCATCTCACCGATTGTTTTTAACCATTGGGTTTTACCGTCCCGAGGTCCCCAACCAGTCAGGAAGTCTACACCTTCCTACCTGGCTTAGATTGACTAATGTAAATTTCATTCACTGGTGCCGCCATGTTTTTAGCTTGAACGCCACTAGCTATTTTCAAGCCTGACCCTATATCAAATAACATTGCCCGTCGAGAGAGGCGATGACTAGGCATACGTAACACATGTCCTAACCATCTCACTCTATGTAACTTCACAACCTCGTCGATTGATTTCCTTTGCTTACCTAGCACTCCACCGACGCATAACCTCAATATTGCTTAACTTTTTATACCACTTCACGGGAAATAGGACGCAAGCATCTATGATCAAAGAGAACTCATCTTTTCATGTCTTCCACTTTGAGTGGCCAGGTCTCACAGCCATTGGGCAGGACTGAGCAGACTGATAAACTCAGTCTAAAACACATCTCTACGGGTATATTCAGCAGACGGTTTTAGGGTAAGTGTTGCCAAATAGCACTAATCTCAATGAAAGATTTTGAGACACTCATTGGAACTAGTCACCCACTGAATGAAGAAATTTGTACAAGTAACAGTTCCAAACGGCTCAGTAGTCTGTTTCATGCATGACTGTCAGACGAATTTCTATTTGGATTATATTTATGGATTCATACCAATGAAAGATGAAACAATACTGGATTTCTTTTAAAATCCGGTGTATAGTTTCCGATTCCCTATGATTTCTATGAAGTCCCTTCATAACACTACGAAATACGATCACACAGCAGTGACCACTAAACCTTGTCAACCATTGATATCGCCATAGGTATAGAGTTCCTGTCAACTACAGATGGACAATAGCAAAGTCTTAACAGATGGTAACCATAACTTGAGTCCCACAATCCTCATTTCCTTTAAAAGCACTTAGTTCACTCATCCCTCAGTCCTCCTGGCTTGTTATTTACTGTCGTGCTATAATTTATCAAACTATTCTTATGTCTTTTGTTCATTCCAGGAGATTCTTGGGGCCTCGGGAAAATCCGAACCCGTCAAGGTGCCTAGGCGTCTTTGGATTGTCCTTACACACTCAAGAAAGAAACCTGTATGATATTTTTTCACAATATGGAAACATTGAAGATGTTCAATTGGTCTTCGATAACTACACTGGTTTGTTGAATACTTATATCTATTCATCTTTCAGGTCGTTCCAGGGGCTTTGGTTTTGTTTATTTTACGCACGTTGCCGATGCGAAAGCTGCCAAAGCTGATGCTCATGGTATGGAAATCGATGGCCGACCAATTCGATGTGATTTCAGTATAACGGAACGCCCTCACTCACCTACTCCAGGAATTTATATGGGCAGACCATCTAGGTAAGTCTGACACAAGTATACAAAGCATGGTTGTGCAATACTTAGTTTTGAGATGACCTTCAATAAGTTTCGCCAATGTAGACTTAACAAAGTAAAGTTTGTGCTACTAATGTTGCATCCACCGAAATGAGTCAAAAAATCTCAATTTCTCCTTTCCTTCGACATCCACGTTAATATCGGTAGTTAGAATTGTGGCGTCTGTTACACATCCTTGTGTTAGTGTGTGTGACGGAAACTTGTAGTCTTTTCGCATAAAAATTTTGAAAGTTAACTGCAGAAGCTTGATATTAGCCTTAAATACATTATGTGCTGGGACTACGGTTGTAACTTCTTTCCTGTAGCTGTCCAGTTTCTACAGGTGATGTTTTTAGTGATTGTTTGTGGTGTAATTTCTGCAAACTTATAGTAGTCCTACTTTCGTTTGACGTGATAAATTTTTCGTTTTGTGTTACCCAATGTAGTACTTGTGCCATACATAAGCTAGATTCCGATCCTTTTTTAGACGCCCCATTCCGCGGAGACGAAGTATTTCTCCACGTGGACGCTATTCTCTTTCAAGGTCTCGTTCGCGTAGCTTTGATCGTAAGTAGCTCTGCATTTTAACCTGCTGTTTTCCTCCAGGGCGTTTCTAAACAATGACATTTGTTTAACCCCATTTTACTGAGGTGCATTTCAACTTCAGTTTACAACTGTTTCATTCACTGTCTGTAATACAAACCTTTCATCCGTTTACTAACATGTGCTGCGAAATAAACACATAGTCAAGTATTATGATTCATTTTGTCTTTCTTTTACAGTTGTGTGAATGCCAAATAAGAAAATAGAATGCATTTGTTAAGAACCCTTACAGAAGAGTAATGAATACAAAGAATTGACATGAAATAATCTTGAAGTATATTTATGTGGACAATGAATACTAATTACGAAAGTACTGAGGATTCTACCGAAGTCAAATTCCATTTTCGAAGTCAGTCACCTAATCGTTGGAAATGATTTAGGCGTTTCGCCGCAGAAAATAATCAGACTTTGAGAAATCTTGCTTTGATGCGTTCGGCATTTGCGTAGAATCAGGCTGTTATGAAGTTAACGGGAACAGGTGTCGTAAGACGTTTTCACTCACGGTATTTACTGAACACCGAATCGTCCTGAAAAGTCTAGTGTCAGTGGTTAAGTCTATATTATTCGAATTCACTGGTGATTACTTCTCAAAGAAGGTGCTGAATATTCAGTTTCTGAACTCTGGGGGCTGAAAGTGAATAAGTCAAGAGTTTTGCGTGAATCGAAATTTATAATCATTAGTCAGTTTGCAACTGATTTGTGAATATAACTCGGGAATCTGTCTTCTGATTCTTACGGGAATGTGAACATGAAATGATGTATCGTAAGTTTATCACTTTATTAATTTTAGCTATTCGAACGTAGATAAGATGGTCGCAAGTTTTTTGAATTACTAGAGTTGTGCATGCAATCAAGAAAGCAGTACTTTTGTAACCAGTAACTATTGTATTTCTAAACCTACTGTGATGTGGAAAGATATACAATTAAGGGTTTACAAAAGTGACAAAGATATATCGAGTTCCTTTTGTTGTTGGTAGCCCTTCATGTAAATGTGTCACCCTTCCGGGACTCATTACAACCCAACCAACTCGTGTATCTATGATTGAACAGTTATATCGATTGAAGCGAACTCCTCCTCCCTGTTAAAGTAAAACAAAAGTCGGTTAAGTACTGCTTGTGTTGAGTGTGATCTTCACATAATTGATAACACCCACCTGATAGTCTTTCCCGGGTTGGTTCAGTCCTATATTAAGCGTATATGAAGATGCATCATGATGTGGTCTCAGTGAGGGTTGTTCTTCCGGTCTGTATCTGACAACAAAATTCATGCGTGCTCGTGGCTAGATAAATTGAAAATTCATAAAATTAGTTACTTGGAACAATGATGCTTCGTGAACAATTGCACATTATAAGATACTCACTCTGTCTTCGTATCCTTCGTAAAGCTTTTTCTGTATTGGGTATATGTATTTCCCCAAGACGTGTTGCCAGTGCTCTTCCCAATCGACTTGGCGCATATGGATATCGCGTGTAGGTACATTTTCATAGCCCCCTTCAAGTCGTGGGTCGTGGTTATCCCCATTTGACCACTCACCAAAGTTTTCCATCTCTTCAATAAGTTGCTTGCAAAACGTTTCTGTTAATAGGGGAAACCAGAATACATCGGGACATGGTTGTTCAACGTCTGCCATTGTGATTTCAGTTTTCAAAAAGTTGAAGAATTCCTGTTGTATATAATGTTCTTCCCAGTCCTGTTTAAATATAAACAATTATAGGTTTAATGAGGTGTTCAAACACTTACTATCTTTCGACTTTTTCACCTGAGATCTATCGTCTGTCTGTGTATGTTTCAAATGGTCTGAAATATTGTAACGAATATTCACGATTGTGTTGTACATAATGTATTATTTGAAGATGCACTGTTTCATTATGTTTATATAGTCATGAGTCCCCATTGGGGTAGTGTTAAACTTTTAATGAGCATTGTTTTTTTGTAGGTAACCGTTTTTTATTTTAGTTTGTTATTCTGCTTATGCGAATCTTAATTGATTGACGAGACAGTGCAAGTACATTTGGCGAAAACAAACACCAGCGAGGGTCTCGAATGTTTTCATTCCTAATGACTATTGTGGATGCAATAATGTATGCATAGCAAGGTTATTTACTTTCATAGTCTAAAAATATACCTTCCACATCTATTTTGCTCTTTTTGCTGTTTACTGTGTGCTATTGAGTACCACGAAAGTAAGGAGTGGTATTCCGGAGAGGCAGAGAGATACCGTAGTGCTGACTGGAATCGAATGCACAGGTCGGTCGTTCAGGCTCAGAGGAGTCGTCTAGGTGATCAGGGGGTTTACATGATGGCAGGTCGGATAATGGGAACCGTTTTATGCAGATCACAACCTATTTCTAGCCAGCACCAACTTCAGGCACGGTCATCACTGTAGCGCTACCTGGTGTCTTCCGTCTGCCAATCAAGCCTGGACTCAGATTGATCATATTGCTGTCAGTTTCCAGTGGCGATGATGCATAGAAGACTGCCGCTTCTTCTGGAGCACATGCCTGGACTCCGATTATGGGTTAGCGTGTGCCAGGTTCGTCTTGCGATTTGGTGGGGTTCATAAAAGACGTCGTCTAACCGAAGTGAGCAAATTAGTAGCAGGTGCTACTAATTTGAAATGCCAGAATGTGTTACAATCAATGCTTGCGAGCAACTACTGTTTGGTAGCAACCCCCAAGTAGTATAGATGAACATTGGCTTCATCTGCAAGATGCCACGCAAATGGCGAGTGTTGCGGCTTGAAAGAATGCTCTTCTAAAAACCACTGGGTTTCTGCGAGTTCCTTGCAACTCCTGGATGATCTCCGGTCTATTCCGGCTGGTAGGGAATACAGCAATAAGCAAAAGGTGCTTACACCCAAGACTGGACAGTGCTTACGTAAGGACCGCGAAGCCTGTTGGTCAGAACGTGCGTGTGAGATGGAGTCAGCTGTTGCATCTGGCAACAGTCGGAAACTGTTCCAGCTCATCCGAGCCACCGGCAGCAAGAAACAAGGTGTCGGCGAGACGGTCTGTGAGGCAGATGACACACCAATTACCAGCCTGGAACGCTGGGCAGAGCACTTCGAGAATTAGTTTAGCTGGCCACCAGGTTTAGTATCTGCTGTCACTTCTTCACCCGGGTTGGAGTCCGAAAGATAGCTCAAAACATTATTGTATATGGCCAAGAATCGTAATCGATGGCGAACGTGCTGCAATTTCCTTCTTTCTTCCCCTCCTCATAGTACTTGACGACTACTGTTTGAATTTATTAAGTATGTCTGTATTCCTGCCAGACGAAGTCCTTCATCCGTTCTCTACTTACATTATTACTTTTCATGTGTGTTGTTTTATTATTATTCCGTCGCGCATCGTCTTCATGCCACACTGTACCAAATTCTTCTGCGATTAAATAAATACAAATTCAGTATCACATAAAGTCAGGACAAATAGTATATTTGAACCCTATTGATTAACTTCGTAAACTCACCTGTGGATTGTCGAATATTTGCCACAAGTCGTTGTGGAGGTGATCGTTAGTGTAATTGTCAGCATTCATCAAGTACCCGAATTCCACTTGATTATCCACAAACATGAAAACATTCTGTGATAAAAAGGAGTTGCACTAAATAAAGATAACTCACTTTATCTCTTGCTTCCTTGGCGAAGTTCATGTCGATTTCGTTCCCTAGTTTTGCGTCAATCAACTTACGCACCGCCCATCGTGAAATTAAATAGGCACTACGAACTAGGGGAACATTCCAGATTCCACTAAAAACCATGAAAAGTTGGTTAATAGAAGGTATACTTTTGTTGTTTTCTACTCACCTTGTATTATAACTGATTATATCCATGTAGTCTTCCGACCTAGTATAAAACCCATCACTACCCAGTGCTCCCCAAAAGTTTGACCACGCCTTTCCTCTTCTTGTTAATAATGGTGCAATTATTGATCGGTTCATCTTAACTAAGTGGTCCAAGGTTTTCGGGTTGGTTAGCTGAGCGATACTGTCTACTACAAATACGTGCTTGCAGTCCTCAACTGATAGACAATGCGCACTGCAAAACAAAGATCAGTATGTCGTGGAAAATGATACACTACTTACAATACTCTCTTCCTTGCTGCCTCTTCACTAAGTTCCTCGTCGAGCCAATTTATCGAGAGGTACTCGTGTCCAAATGTGTCATTGAAATGTTCTATAAATGAGAGTTGGTTTTTCGCCGTTCTCTGTAAAGGAAATAATATCGTTTATTTCCATACTGAATATTGTACCACTTAGTAGATACGGATAGATGAAATGGCATTTCCGAGAATGTCACTGTACCACCCAGACCACCTAAGCTATGCTGTATGAATTAAGCGTGAAATGTTTGGTTTATTCTCTTTACCGGCCTAACATTTTTACAATTAAAGTTTTCCAGGTTGTTTTCACCCTATACAGTTGTATTTCTGAAGACCTGTACTCTCCATTACTGCCTTTCTGTCTTTTCCCCTGTTCTCCCTTGACTTCTTCTGTAAATTGACAGATGACATCAGTCTGATAGACACTTAGTTGTTGACCGTACTATTATGTGGTGTTTCCCTTAAATCTAAACTCCTGATAAAGCCCTAAATCGAGACGGTAAACAATTTCAATCTGGATGCAGATTTCTACGACATGAGTGTTCACTCATGGGTTAGTATTACTCATCATTGTTTCCCACTCCTCCAGACATTTAATTTATTTGGAGGTGATTTTGATATTGAGGTTTCAAATAAAGTTTAACATAACATCCTTGTCAGTCTTAATTTTAACTCACCGCTCTGTGACCCACTATATGAATTCGAGACTTCGGATATGACAGCTCTGCTACTCGTTGGAAAAACTTTCCAATAAACGGTGTTGGGTATTCAATGAAAATCCCCATGACTATCAGCGGATATTCCTGCTTCTACAAATAGGAGAATAATTTTAAAATAATTTTTTATTGTGAATGAAAGGCATTGCGATAAACACTGGGTACACAATATTTGTTTCACTTTAGATAGGTAAATGCGTTTTCTATCTGGGAAAACACATTTTTATCAGACAGTCAGTTATGATCAGAATCGTATAGGCATTGTCAGGTCGTGATGTTTAGTTGAGTCAATGTTCAGTGACGTCGAGTAAACACAAGCCCTGAGATCTAACTGCAGTAGGGATGGATGGAGACGATTTCCTCGTTAGGATTTCAGCCGGATTCGCGTAGCTTTGATCGTAAGTAGCTCTGCATTTTAACCTGCTGTTTTCCTCCAGGGCGTTTCTAAACAATGACATTTGTTTAACCCCATTTTACTGAGGTGCATTTCAACTTCAGTTTACAACTGTTTCATTCACTGTCTGTAATACAAACCTTTCATCCGTTTACTAACATGTGCTGCGAAATAAACACATAGTCAAGTATTATGATTCATTTTGTCTTTCTTTTACAGTTGTGTGAATGCCAAATAAGAAAATAGAATGCATTTGTTAAGAACCCTTACAGAAGAGTAATGAATACAAAGAATTGACATGAAATAATCTTGAAGTATATTTATGTGGACAATGAATACTAATTACGAAAGTACTGAGGATTCTACCGAAGTCAAATTCCATTTTCGAAGTCAGTCACCTAATCGTTGGAAATGATTTAGGCGTTTCGCCGCAGAAAATAATCAGACTTTGAGAAATCTTGCTTTGATGCGTTCGGCATTTGCGTAGAATCAGGCTGTTATGAAGTTAACGGGAACAGGTGTCGTAAGACGTTTTCACTCACGGTATTTACTGAACACCGAATCGTCCTGAAAAGTCTAGTGTCAGTGGTTAAGTCTATATTATTCGAATTCACTGGTGATTACTTCTCAAAGAAGGTGCTGAATATTCAGTTTCTGAACTCTGGGGGCTGAAAGTGAATAAGTCAAGAGTTTTGCGTGAATCGAAATTTATAATCATTAGTCAGTTTGCAACTGATTTGTGAATATAACTCGGGAATCTGTCTTCTGATTCTTACGGGAATGTGAACATGAAATGATGTATCGTAAGTTTATCACTTTATTAATTTTAGCTATTCGAACGTAGATAAGATGGTCGCAAGTTTTTTGAATTACTAGAGTTGTGCATGCAATCAAGAAAGCAGTACTTTTGTAACCAGTAACTATTGTATTTCTAAACCTACTGTGATGTGGAAAGATATACAATTAAGGGTTTACAAAAGTGACAAAGATATATCGAGTTCCTTTTGTTGTTGGTAGCCCTTCATGTAAATGTGTCACCCTTCCGGGACTCATTACAACCCAACCAACTCGTGTATCTATGATTGAACAGTTATATCGATTGAAGCGAACTCCTCCTCCCTGTTAAAGTAAAACAAAAGTCGGTTAAGTACTGCTTGTGTTGAGTGTGATCTTCACATAATTGATAACACCCACCTGATAGTCTTTCCCGGGTTGGTTCAGTCCTATATTAAGCGTATATGAAGATGCATCATGATGTGGTCTCAGTGAGGGTTGTTCTTCCGGTCTGTATCTGACAACAAAATTCATGCGTGCTCGTGGCTAGATAAATTGAAAATTCATAAAATTAGTTACTTGGAACAATGATGCTTCGTGAACAATTGCACATTATAAGATACTCACTCTGTCTTCGTATCCTTCGTAAAGCTTTTTCTGTATTGGGTATATGTATTTCCCCAAGACGTGTTGCCAGTGCTCTTCCCAATCGACTTGGCGCATATGGATATCGCGTGTAGGTACATTTTCATAGCCCCCTTCAAGTCGTGGGTCGTGGTTATCCCCATTTGACCACTCACCAAAGTTTTCCATCTCTTCAATAAGTTGCTTGCAAAACGTTTCTGTTAATAGGGGAAACCAGAATACATCGGGACATGGTTGTTCAACGTCTGCCATTGTGATTTCAGTTTTCAAAAAGTTGAAGAATTCCTGTTGTATATAATGTTCTTCCCAGTCCTGTTTAAATATAAACAATTATAGGTTTAATGAGGTGTTCAAACACTTACTATCTTTCGACTTTTTCACCTGAGATCTATCGTCTGTCTGTGTATGTTTCAAATGGTCTGAAATATTGTAACGAATATTCACGATTGTGTTGTACATAATGTATTATTTGAAGATGCACTGTTTCATTATGTTTATATAGTCATGAGTCCCCATTGGGGTAGTGTTAAACTTTTAATGAGCATTGTTTTTTTGTAGGTAACCGTTTTTTATTTTAGTTTGTTATTCTGCTTATGCGAATCTTAATTGATTGACGAGACAGTGCAAGTACATTTGGCGAAAACAAACACCAGCGAGGGTCTCGAATGTTTTCATTCCTAATGACTATTGTGGATGCAATAATGTATGCATAGCAAGGTTATTTACTTTCATAGTCTAAAAATATACCTTCCACATCTATTTTGCTCTTTTTGCAAATGTTTGGTTTATTCTCTTTACCGGCCTAACATTTTTACAATTAAAGTTTTCCAGGTTGTTTTCACCCTATACGGTTGTATTTCTGAAGACCTGTACTCTCCATTACTGCCTTTCTGTCTTTTCCCCTGTTCTCCCTTGACTTCTTCTGTAAATTGACAGATGACATCAGTCTGATAGACACTTAGTTGTTGACCGTACTATTATGTGGTGTTTCCCTTAAATCTAAACTCCCTGATAAAGCCCTAAATCGAGACGGTAAACAATTTCAATCTGGATGCAGATTTCTACGACATGAGTGTTCACTCATGGGTTAGTATTACTCATCATTGTTTCCCACTCCTCCAGACATTTAATTTATTTGGAGGTGATTTTGATATTAAGGTTTCAAATAAAGTTTAACATAACATCCTTGTCAGTCTTAATTTTAACTCACCGCTCTGTGACCCACTATATGAATTCGAGACTTCGGATATGACAGCTCTGCTACTCGTTGGAAACACTTTCCAATAAACGGTGTTGGGTATTCAATGAAAATCCTAGATAGGCGAATCAAAAACCAAATGGACTTCATCTCAATGCTTCTCGAGGAAGTGTAGACGCAGCTTACTGGGCATGAAAGTAAGAAGAGGAGCAGACTTTGGCTCAGATCACTGTCTCATACAAGGAGCACTCGAAATCAAATTAAAAACTTTGAAAGAAACAGGAGCTGCAGAAAGACCACAAGTCGAGTTCAATACTCAAAATATAAAGGACCAGGCCTCAAAGGACATCTTCACTGTAGTCATAAGGAAAAATGCGGAGACACAAATCAACACTAGCGAAGAGACCAGCATTGAAAAGCACTGGAAAAACCTGAAGGCGCTGTGTAGTCAAACCTGCATGGAAGTTCCAGGTAGAAAGAAGAGACAGGACAAACAGTAATGAAACAAAAGATAACCCACTGCATTGACAAGCAACAAAAACAAGAGCTGAACGCAAGCTACAATACACTGAACAAAAGAGTAAAGAAAAGTGCCAAGGAAGGCAAAAGGCAATATTATAAAGCTATGACAAGTGAAGCAGAACAAGCTGCAGGCAAAGGAGACCTCGCAACACTCTACCAAACAACTAGGCACCTTTCGGGGGAAAGTTCGACACAAATTAAGCCAGTGAAGGATGACAATGGAAAGTCAATCACCAAAGAGGTGGAGCAAAGGAAACACTGGGCTGAACACTTCAAAAGACTTCTAGACCAACCGCCACCTACAACGCGCCCAATAATACCAACAGCGGAAGCAGAACTACCAGTGGACATCAACCCTCCGACGAAAACAGAAAACCTGAAGGCAGTAAAGATGCTGAGAACTGGAAAAGCAGCAGAACCAGATGGGATCCCCGCAGAAGCATTGAAAATGGACCCCGAAACATCAGCAGACTTGATGACACCACTGCTGAAGAAGGTGTGGAAAGAAGGGAAGGTACCTGCCAATGAAAGGAGACTTAAGTCAATGCAAGAACTAGTGGGGCATAATGCTCCTGTCTATCCCAAGCAAAATACTAAGCCGCATCATACTGGAGAGTATCAAACACGTCCTGGATGGAAAGCTTTGACCGGAACAGGCTGGATTCAGGAGGAATAGGTCATGCATCGATCAAATCGCAACACTACGGACCATCATTGAACAGAGCTTGGAATGGCAGTCAGCTCTTTACCTCAACTTCATTGACTCTGAGAAAACCTTTAACAGCGTCGATCGAGAGGTGATTTGGAAATTACTTCGCTACTACGGAGTGCTGCTAACAATTATGCAGCTCATCCAACAGTTTTACGACATTTCTGCACGCCAAGTAATCCACAGCGGGAAACTCACGGAATCCTTTGAAGTGAAGACGGGTGTAAGACAAGGCTGGCTGCCTACTATCTCCAATGATTTTCCTGATTGCGGTAGACTGGATAATGCAACAGACAGTGGGCAGCGAAGAAACAGGCATAAAACGGACCCACACTAAAAACTTGGAGGATCTGTAATTGACGGATGATATTTGTCGTATTTGCCACAAACTGGAAGATATGCAAGTGAAAAGCAACACGTTCACAAAGATAGGACTTCAGGTGAGCATAGAGAAGACAGAGGTGATGAAGATTCGAGGCCAACAGCAACAACAATCAACATAAGTGGAAGAAATTTTAAAGAAGTAACTACATTTACCTACCTGGGAAGCTTCGTTTCAAGTACAGGCGCAACTGACGAGAATATCAAAGAAAAGATTAGTAAAGCGAAGCAAGGTTTCATTACTCTGAAGTCTGTGTGGAGGTCGACAGCAATCAACATGAAAGAAAGATGCGGAGGAGTTCATGTGAAGAGGCAACGAAAGCATATCGGCAGACGTAGAGCAAAGTGGAACCGAACTCAATTTAATCGTGTGGCTGAAGCCCTTTGTCCTCTAGGAGTTTAAGGAAACAATAATCATAATGAAAAGACTTGGCTTTTGCCGTTCTCTGTAAAGGAAATAATATTGTTTATTTTCATACTGGATATGTACCACCCAGACTTGCTAAGCTATGCTGTATGAACTAAGCGTGAAATGTTTGGTTTATTCTCTTTACCGGCCTAACATTTTTACAATTAAAGTTTTCCAGGTTGTTTTCACCCTATACGGTTGTATTTCTGAAGACCTGTACTCTCCATTACTGCCTTTCTGTCTTTTCCCCTGTTCTCCCTTGACTTCTTCTGTAAATTGACAGATGACATCAGTCTGATAGACACTTAGTTGTTGACCGTACTATTATGTGGTGTTTCCCTTAAATCTAAACTCCCTGATAAAGCCCTAAATCGAGACGGTAAACAATTTCAATCTGGATGCAGATTTCTACGACATGAGTGTTCACTCATGGGTTAGTATTGTAGCGGTAAATAATTCCCCAAAATTATTGACCACAGCAATCACTCATTGGATGCTGACCACCACTGTTTAAGTCGACTTGTTTAGCTGAAGGCTTCCGGTCAAGCATCCCCGCCATTTGGTACCCCGTCGTGTAACGTGCACGATCACTAGCTAGCTAAGCGTTCGTCTATCGGCTGGTTTTGGTTCCTAAATACATTTCTTCGTTTGGACGACCAATTATTGGCTTTTGCTTTGTCTTTGGTACGCGAGAATAAATTAATTAGAAGTTGTTGAACGAGATATCACGTCAAACCTTTAATATCCCTCAACCTTTAAACTGGTGAGCCCGACGTGATATCTCGTTCCCGAAATATGCTCAATGACTAAGCAGACTTCGAGTGAGGATCCTGCAATGACAGAGTTATGCAACTCCCTTCAGCAGATGTTTAGGTCAAACACACATTCTAAATCCTCCAACCGTCGTCCTAAATCTCCTCAACGCAGGAACTCGCGTGGTCGATCTAAGTCCAAACCACGTTCACTGAAAAACCCTGACTGGTGCTGGTATCACAACACCTATGGCCAAGAAGCGAAGTGTTGCCGTAAACCTTGTAACTTCGGAAATGTCTCAAAGTCTGGTGGGAAACTATCCCGCCGGCACGCGTTAGCGGCAACCGTCGCCGGTGGCACTAGCCGCCTACTTTACATCCATGATGTGATAAGCCAGACTCGATACTTAGTCGACACAGGCGCCGAAGTCAGCGTCCTTCCTGCTACAGCAGCAGATCGACAGAAGGAACCTACCTTCAACTTACAGGCTGCAAATGGAAAACCAATCGCAACCTTTGGTAGGAAATACGTCTATCTGAACGTAGGTTTACGCAAACCTATTCGGTGGATTTTCCTTCTCGCTGACGTTACAATGCCCATCATTGGCACGGACCTACTTAATCATCATGATTTACTCGTAGACGTCCGCCGAAAACGACTGATTGACAATACTACTAGTCTGTCTATCAAAGGCATTACCTACATAGGCCCTAGCTTGTCACCCGTTAAGATAAAGGCAATTCTTGATCCAACTTTTCAACCTATCGTTGACAAGTATCCGGAACTTAATTGCCCGTCGAACGACCTACCGTGCATAACCAGCAATGTTATGCACCACATCATTACCACAGGACAACCTGTGACATCTAAAGCACGACGATTAGCTCCTGACAAACTGAGAATCGCCAGGAATGAATTTGACCATATGCTTAGCCTTGGCATCATTCGACCTTCGAATAGCCCATGGGCATCCCCACTTCATATGGTTCCGAAAAAGGATAGCAACGATTGGCGACCCACCGGTGATTACCGGCGAGTGAATGCCAAAACAACCCCTGATTGCTACCCGTTGCCTCATATACACGACTTGACGGCAACCTTATCCGGCGCGACTATATTCTCCAAAATCGACTTGGTTAAAGCGTATAACCAAATCCCGATGGCAACAGAAGACATCCCGAAAACGGCTATCATTACGCCTTTCGGACTTTTTGAATTTCTACGTATGCCATTCGGTCTTCGGAATGCAGCCCAAACATTCCAACGCTTCATTGACGAAGTATTTCGCGGTCTCGACTTTGTATACGCATACTTAGACGACTGCCTCATCGCCAGTCCAG